TATTACTACACGATGTTCTGCTATGCGTTAATTAAATTCCTGACGAGCAGTATGCACAGTCTCAGTGGTTTTCTGCTCGTTCCCCGTGCTCCAGATGCAGCTATTCAGACTAAGTGTGTGTCAGCCATGCGGAGTGGAGGAGAAAAACCCAAACCCACTGATAACCTTTTAATCAAAGCTTAGAGGGGGGATGTTTACCATTTTGACTGTTCTTTCAGAGTTCTGATTATAGATAAACCAAATAAGACTATAGCTGCGGGGGTTAAAATAAATGTGCTTAACTCCTCTAATTAAAGCGTTTCATTAAAGAGTAATCTTTACTGAAACACTCCACACTGTGCATTTTAGAGCAGCATGTCTACAGAGTTTTCTTTTTTTTTTTGCTTTTCCTTTTGTCAGCGCTTCCCTTTCCACTGCTAAATAATTTATTAAAATATTCACAGAGAATACCCCAAATCTGTCCTTAAGTGGGTCAATTACACTTCTACATAGTGTTGTGACATTTCATTCACACACAACAATCCTTTATTTTTAGATGTGCTTGTGTATAAACATAGCATCGCATTATGAGATGGAACTTTACGGCATATTCTTTTGTTGTTGCCACCGATTTTTTAACAGTTTCCTAACAATGTTATGTTATGTATGGTGTTGTTTCACAGCATTTTTGTAGCACTTCCTGTTAGGAATAAAAAAAAACAATTGAATTGACTTTTAGGGCACAATAGTTTCAGGAATGACTGCAGTTATCTAAGAGTTGGAGGTTTGATTCCGGGTTCCGATAGTTCAGTGTTTCCCAAACTTTTTTCTGGGGACCCATATTTTAAAAGTCACAAACCTTTGCTCCCCAAGTCGTAAACTCCTCGGAAACATGATGCAAAATGACCCAAATAAAATCTCTTGCGACCCACCCCAGGTTTGCAACCCAGTCCTTGGAAAACAATGCCATAGTTTATATGGATGTCAACGACTTAATTAATATAGTAGTTTATATGGATGTCAACGACTTAATTTCAAGTCACTGTTGTCCGTGTGTAAACCAGGGTTGCCCAATAGGTTAATTGTCATCTACTATAGTATACTAATATATATACATACAGTATATACACGTTGTTGTATGAGTGAATAGGTGTGAATGGGTGAATGGGCTCTAGTCATGCTCATTAAAACTGGAAACACACTTGTTAGTACAGTGCAGTAGCTGTGTGTTTTTATTGTGGACTCAGCTTCCTAGCCAGTCAATAAAGGCTGCGTTTAATGTAACACGCCAGATAACACCAGGTAGGGGAGCAGACGTGAACATGTGCTCGGCAGATATTAACAATATGCTAATCAAACACTGCCTGCATTGTGGCTAAGCTTTAAATCCCCTCGCTGTGATGTTGGACCATGTGAAGTTTGTCTTTAATTCAGTGAGATCAGATGAAATAGTCGACACTTCTTACTCTGCGGAGCTGACGTAAGAGGTGCACCTCGGTTGCTTCACTGGAGACCAGGCGCTATCGATAGAGACCAGAGCAATGGGGAATGACATAAAGAATAATTAGTTAATAAATCAACTCCCCAGCCTACTTGCACTTTCCTGCTCTCTGCTCTTCCCCAATCGTTGCCCATTTTTTCTTTTCCGTCTCTCTGTCTGCAGCGGCGTTAAATTCCTAAGACATATTGCACCTGTTTGCATGGGTACACAAGACCCCTGCTGGGTGTTCTCCCTCCTCTTTCACTACCCCTGAGGGCGTTGCAGTTGGGTGATGTAATCAGATGAAAGTGGTGGTTTAACCAGTGGCATAGAGCCGGCGAGGGAACGGGGAGGGGAGGCGGAGGAGGGGGCTCGCTCCGAGCCAATGCAGCCAGTCTTCATAAGGGAGAATTGGGTGCACGTTATTGATCAGAGCAAAATTTAATTTAGTGGAGAATTGACTGCAATGGTTCACCTGAATACTGCCGGTAACTGGGCCCTGTAGCAGGCCTGTGTGGCCAGCAGGTGGTTGAAAGGCTTGAGGAGGAGATTAAGGGTTGGATAGAAGGAAGGGAAATGGATGATAAAGGTAGTGGCGGAGTTTCAGGGGGAATAGGATGGCATTGAAGGAGGGAGTTAGGAGCAGAGCTAAAAGGCTTAATGGAGGGCATCTAATCCTAAATTGCTGTGATTCTTGCGTGACACCATTAGTGACATCCTCCTAAATGGAGCCGGACATTCGGACAACGTCTTGGTAAAGACTTCTATTTTGTTCATCACGCTGAACAGCTTTGATATCATTGCTTCACTAATTGATTTCATTTGTTTAGAATGAGATATCTGCGTTAGTTACCTTAATAAGCTTGGCTTGACGTCCATCCAGTAGGTGGCATCTGTTATTGCAATACTATCTAAGTACGCAAATATTCCACACGGTTTCAACCCTGGGCTTTTGTGCAGGTAGATTTCTCCTGACTCAGTAGCTGAGAAACAGTGGTTTTTAAATGAAAAGAAGTTCAGCACAAAACAGTGACCTCTGGTGTCCTCACGGTTATGATCGTAATTAATTTCAATTTTAATTTATTTTTATGAACTCTCTCCATCACTTTTCCTTTACCTCCCTCTAGTTTGCACAGATTCCATGGCCTTAAAAAACCGTCCTTGAGAAAGCCTTTAGTGGGAAAACTCCTGCCACGTTTAAGGAAAAGGTAGAATCCACTGTGTGTCAGACAGAGCTGGGACATGGAGAGGGGGGAAGTCATTCCCCAGAGGGGTTATTTTCCCCTCTAATAGCTGTTACGAGCCCTACATTATATCCAAGGAGCTACGTTCCTTTGGGGTCCACAGCACAGACGCACACTCACACACACACACACACACCTAGATGTACCGACACGCTCACACAAAGGCGTGCACACTCAGTTGAGCGCAAATTTTCTCTCTGTCTGTTTCACACACGCACACGCAGACACACATTCACACACACACACAGTCCTAGTTGCTTTGCTCTTCCCGTGTCAATATCCTGCCATTTGAAGTCACGTACTGCAGGGGCTTCTGGGAGTCGCCGAGGAGCCAGGCTGACGGGTAATGGGCCGCATTCATTAATAAGGTTGCCGTGCTCCTGTCCCTCCTCAGCAACACTGAGGATGTCTTCACCGGGGGGTATGGGGCTAGAGAGGGACTGTCCCGTGGGGAGTTTCCTCCCAGACTCACTTAAAGGAGCTTTATTTCAGCAAGAGAGGAGTGAGTAAGTAAAGGCAGAGGAGCTGTCCACTGCTGCCTCTTTAAAAAAGAGAGAGTAAGGCCCAGGCGAGCCATCTTAACCCTTACAGGGGTCATACTCCTGCTCCCCGTCAAACTGCTTATTACCCCACCTGTCGGGCAGTAATCGCCCCAGCTGTAAGGAAAACCTGCAAGGTGTTTAAAAGGTTTACAGCGGGGCAAGTGAAAGGGTAAAGAGGAAAGGCTTGAATGTATAGGGGGTAATAGGACTCTGCACCGATTGGTCCGAGGGCAACTACATGGATAAATGCTCCCACTGAGGGTGCAGTTTGTCAAACCATATATGGACAATGGAACAGTTGAATGTTATTTCAAACATTTGCGACTACTCTGTTCTATAGAATGTGTGTGTGTGTGTCGGTCGTGCATGCATCCAAGTGTTCTGATGACTAGGTGACAGGTGTGTCGAGTCCATGCCAGTTTAGCGTTAGTCCTCGGCCATGTTTTAAACAGAGCGCAGCAAGTGGGGCATGTAGTTTGCATTAAAGGGATTAGCAGTCACTTCAAAAGATGACCTGGATTCAGCCCACCAGGGACACCAGTTACACACCCCCTGGTCCACACTCCCTTTAAAGAACCTGGCGCAGCTGCCCCACTACAAACCCTCTCAATGGCCTCACCGTGTGTGTATGTGCCGGGGAAACTCTGCCACACAGCCAAGCGGAGTGGTGTGTTGTCAGCGTGTTAACCTGTGGTGGTGAATTTTGCTCTTTTTACCTAAGTACAGAAATATCTGTAACCTCACCTGAGAGGATGAGGAGCAGGGTAAACAAGGACACCAAGGAAGATATATTCATCAGCCGTGTCATGGCCTTGTCATAGATTTATTTCCATGGATTCAACTGGGGTCTAGGGAAGGATGCACATGGCCAAGTGGCCCCACCACAGACTACACCTAAGAATGACCAGCTGACTGTGTGGAGTGGGTTTTTCTAAATAGCCGTTTCTTTAATCGGCCTCGCTGATGACATTTTTACCTAAGCTAATATAAATAAAGGTGTCACACATTCCTTATTAACCACTTCCATGTCATACACGTATGACAAATGCCCTAAATTAAATACAAAATGGGTTTGAAGGGAGCATTGACTGTGTAGGTAGTGTACAAGTCACGTCATTGCAAAAAAAGAGTTTTGGGGAAAAATGAATTGTAGAGCCATGAAAACCTGAATTCATAACCTGACCAAATTATAAGTCAATTTATGACCTACTTTATTTATAACTGGCTCATTTAATGACTTATTAATTTACCACCTACTAAATGTATAACCCTAATGAACATTTTACTGCGAGGTTTATTATCCTCCTTTTTTAAATATCATAATGTCAAAATGTCTCTCTCTCTCTCTCTCTCTGTTTTTATGAATAACAAAATATATCAAATTAGGTCGACTTTTCAGGACAATCTCCACAGCAGAAAGGAAGTGGCCTCAGTTATTTTTATTTTTTGTTAAAGTTTGTATCTCACAGCTGCATTCATTCAGTGGGATGAACCTGAGAGTGAATGAGCAAATACTGTAGCTGTCAGTTAATGTCTGTACTCTGAAGGTGTAAAGTCTTCAATCGTTCAATACACAGTTTATACAGAACCAGCCTTTTTCACCACTCGTACAGCCTGCGTGGTAGAGACAAAGGGAGAGAAAGAATATTCCAACAATCACCACACACACACTAAAGAAGGAGGAGATGTTTTTTTTTTCCTTCCTGCCTGTGTGTGATCATAATGTGTCCCTCTTTCTTTTGGTGTCCTTTGCAGAACCACGCGTTGACTCAGCACAGCAGCTAACGTGACGGAGATCAGCGGCACGGCCGAGAACGAGGATCACATGAAGCGGAGGATGTTTTGAACCACCAATTACCGTCAGTGCAGTTTTCCACTGACTGTCTTGCACTGAACTTTCAACCGAGTTACACCACAAGGAACCTATGCCACAGCAAAGGAGTGGAAAAAAAGTAAAGAAAATAAAAAAATGAAAGCGAGAGAGAGAGAGAGAGAGGAAAGAACAAAAAAGTAACCCCTCTCCCGTCTTTACTCACCATTATTTCAAAAATAAATAAACGCCAACTCGTTTGTACATAGTACCTTTCATGTGTTGCTTAACTACAGCTATATTGCAATCTTATACAGTATTTGCCAATGTACAGTCCAACATGTTTGTCCAAAAAAAAAGGAAGAAGGGGAGAAGAAGGGACATGTATTAATCAGACTAAAGCAGTTGTGTACAGAAGAAACTTGGTGCCTCTGAGGGGGGAGGGAACTGTGGGGAAGGGTGAGTTTTGTCAGGAGGACTCTTTTCATCAGCCCCACTCCTACGGCGCAGTGTGTCACTCTGTGTCCAGACGTGGTCGGTCGTTATGGACGAGAAAAGCTCGATTCACCAGCAAAGGCTGAAATCTGCTCTCTGTCTCTGTGTGTGTGATGGAGCCACCGAGCTGCGCTGCCTGTGCTGGGGTCCGTGTAAAAAAAAAAAAAGAAAAAACCTAACAGAAAGATGAGGAGAGAGAAAAGAGGACAGGATGCTGATATATGCAAATGCAGTGACACACATTTGGAAAAGGCTAGTTGCTCTGGTTGGCTCGTGAACAGCAGCTCCCATGTGGCTCTTAGAGCATGAGGGACATTTTCAGCCCACTGACTCAACCTGTACATTTCTGTTAGTAATGTTTACTGCTCTTTGAAGCCTGGAGATTACTGGATATTTTTTTTATTATTATTAATATTATGGTTATTGTTCTTTTTTTTTCTTTTTGTTTTCTCGCTACATGTTTTCACCACGAGGGAGTGGTTTCACTTGGATTCATGAGGATTGAATGTGTTTTTCAGCCTTTTGTGGGGATACGTTGTAATTAAAAATCCGTCCCTGGCTCTCCTGGAGAGTGTCCAAGTTCCTCTTCGTGTTCCTTTGCAGTATCCCGTTGCTCTCTGCTCCGGCCGGACGCAGCTGTGGCGTCACACGCGACTCTGCAACCATTCTGTTCTGTAAATGTTTTGCATTCATTGAACCTGAGATGCACTTTTGTATGAGACTTTAATGTTTTGACCTTTTGATTGAGAATTGTTCGTACACAGTTTACAGGAAGCCACCATCTCCTGCAGCTAAAGGACAGTTATACCCGATGTTATTAAATTGTATTGTACAAATATGGAGTTCTGTATTTGGCAGACCTCGTTTTTTTTGTGTTGCACATGTGATGAAAATATTAAAAACTGTATGATGAAGTGGCTTTGACGTCCCTTCATTAACTATTCACGAGGCACGCATGTACCTGCGTGTATGTGTCGGTGTGTGCGCGTACAATTAAACAGACAAGACCTATGACAGCATAAAAACCATCATCATCAAAAGCTTACATGGCTTTTTTCATTGTCTCAAATTGCATCCTATTTTTTCTCCCTCCCCTGTGACTCCCCCTAACGAACATCTGAGTATCTTAAGGGAGGTCTGAGTTATTAATGACTCCATTACCCATCACCCTGTGCGGTCCCATTCTACACACCCTCGTGCTAGGTCTATTTAGGGAGCTTCCAGCACTCCGGGGGAGCGAAGAAAAGATTCTTCTGCCTTTGCCGAATGGGACAAAACTCATACAACAACATCTGTCTGTCTGAGCCAATGATTTATCAGTGGTGACACAGGAGCGCCACAACATTTGTTGGAGCTTTCACTTTTGTTTTGAGAAGGCTCTGCTGTGGATCGCACTGCACTGCAACTGGGCTGTGCTGCACAGACCGCATTACCAAAACACAAAAAAAAAAAACAAGATACATAATCTTAAATATATATATATATATATATACATTTTTCTCTCTAATATGATTCAAGTGGTTCCAGTTTCAGTGTTTCCTTCTTGTGTGAGTATGTTATCTCTGGGTTCCCACAGTCAAATGATTGGGTTATGAGAGATATGTTTGAGTGTAAATAATAGTTTGACTACGTGGCCCTGTGATGGTAAGGGTGAAGGTCCTCAGTGTAGCCCACACTCGTTCAGGTTCCACCTGAACCAGGCAGTAGAAGATGAATGAATGAGTGTCAGTTGTTGTTAGTTTCCAAGGCTACTGCCATGTAGTTCTGATCACCGTGGAGCAGGTCTTGGGTTAGATTCCACTTCAGGAAGAGCATTTGACCTAATAAATAACCACATGGTTATCACTGACGTGAAGGAGGAAATGAATCATGATTTTTGTAAATGTCAACACCTTTAGAAATGAACAAATTATATTCAACTTGACGTCAAGGATAACATTGTCCATCGTGTGTTGACCTTTGTTACGTTACTGTGCTGAGAGTCAGAGGAGTAAAGGAAGAGCATGGTGTTGAGAACAAACCAAAACAGCAGACTCAACCCTCTGTCCATAACCAGGATGGTACGCTCCAACATTAACTGTCACACTGAATGCAAGCTGGGCATCCATTAAACAACTTTGCTAGCATCTCCCTGTGCCAGGCACTTTTAATAAGCTTCAAGGGCATTTGAACGGGTCCAGAACTTTGCTTTGCCAGAGATGGACTGGCCCACATCATCCATTACATTAAATTGGGTGGCGGCCTCCAGCTCATATTTATGATTTAATTAAATTCACTTGTGAGGCGTATCAGAAGCACTGCGGCCCTCCCTTTTAAAGCCAGCCTAGGCAGCAAAATGCACACATACACACATGGCTACACACGAGCGCGTACACAAGTGTTGTGTTTCTGACACTCGCCAAGTGTGAGACTTTGTGGGCGCATAGGCAGGGGCGTTCTCAAGGGCTCTTTTAAAGCAATATAATTACTCAGCCCCCAAGTATTCTTCCATCAGAAAGCAGCAGAATAGATGGCTTGTTCAGAGACAACTTAGCCCGACCGATCCTCCACGGCGTCATCGCCTGAACGTAACCTCGATGCAGTTGGCACTGAACGCTACTGAGGGCCTGGCCGAGCCTTATTGTAAGTGGACAGTAGGGCCAGATGTTTTGAGCTAGCAGAAACGCCATTGTTTTGGTCCAGGTTGTGTGTAAAATGTGGCAATTTTTTTTTTCTCCACACTTTAAAACCCATGGCCCTCTGGAGGAACAGTTGCAGCCTGGTGTTGAGAATTTATTAAAGAAATATGAGTTCCTGCTCAACCTGTGCAGTGTTGTGATTTCCAGGAAGCTTAAAAATGTGCCATTTTATGAACATCCAGCACGGATGCGAGTGTGCGTTTAGTGACGGTCCCCGGTGCTTCAGTGTCCTTGCAGTTTCTCCTCTTTGGTGCAAAATTTACTTTGGTGAAAACTCCACATTGTTAGCCCGTGCTTTCCTCCAACAGAAGGAGACCTCAGAGACCTCTTATGGCATTCAATATGTGCGCCCAAGCATGAGATCCAGATCCATTTGGCCTGCAGATCCACTGGGAGTGTCTGGGGTAACCCAATCTCTCTCCGACACTTCACATCCAGAGAGCCATCTTTTTACTTCAGAACTGTGTCAGCACAATGGACGTCGCAGCCTCAGTTTGTACCGCCGTCAGTTTGTAACTCCGTCAATATGTAAAAAAATGTTTCCAAAATCCACAAATTTGGAATCCTAATAGTTTTTGGGGTTTTTTTTATTTCCTGTCTCTGCATTATTTTGTGCATCATTCAACTCATCTTCTCTCATCATGCATCTTATACTACTACCTGAAAATGTGGATAAATACTTCTTGTATACTGTAGTGCTGATTTGCAGTAGACTGAAACATCACCGTTCTCCCCGTCCTTTTTTATAAACTGTTTGACAATCGCAGGGTCACCAGGGATTGGAGAGCGCCAGCACACAAAGATTACACTCCGGACCGGTTGCCAGTGCACTAGTGAGTTAGCACACATATGGACAAACAAAACAATCAGACTCCAAACTCCTCTGTAGCCCCCCCTAATGATCCCCCCTGTCTCCCGAAGTAGGAGAACTGAAGGTGAGTTTCCCCCTCCAGTCTTCTCCCTCTGCCTCACCAAGATAGACACATGAAATAGACAAGGCACTATCTGTTTTTTTGTTTTGTTTTTTTTTCTTTTTTTTTTAGAAAGGTGGGATTTTCAAAAATGCATTAAACACCAAGCAATAAAATATATACCAGGTGGGGTCAAATTCACTGCAACTCTCCAGACTCCAGCACCGCTGTGGCTGGTGTGATGAGGCGAGGACAAAGAAAAGGAGTCTAACAAGAGCAGAGTAAAGGAAAAGAAAGTATCAATAATACAGTGTACTCTGTATACAGCTGAGAGAGAAATGGAAAACACACTGACTGGGAGAGGGGGAGAGAGGGAGAGAGAGAGGGAGAGAGAGGAGGCCTCTCAGGTTTCTGGACCCGGTCCTGTGGATCTGAGTGCCAGAATGCGAATTCACTGGCTAAATGATTTGATTTCATTGTAAGCTGTTTATGTGGTTGAGTGGGTTGTGTGTTAGTGTGTGTGTACTGTATATATATGTGTGTGTGTGTGTGTTTGGCTGGACGGGTGGGTTGTCATGGGGAGCACATGTGCAGAACCAATAAGAAGAGGGGGGAGTATATAAGTAACTGTAAACACATGTACACACATCAGAACCATGATGGCCTGAGTTCTTTTTTGACATTTTATATATTGTTATAAATGTGTATGTTTATATGTGTAACCTTTTGACAGCTATTCATACATAATCAGACCGATTGCCATCAACAGTAAATACAATTTTGTACTTTATATGAAACAAAGTAGAAGTCTGTGTACTCACAGCCCAAGGGCTGAAACTGCATGTACTCTTTGAACCCCTCGCATGTACTGTATTGTATTAAGTACAACCAAGTTCATGTGAAGAGCATTACCGTATGTTCCTACTTCTACAAGTATAGGAAATACTTCTACTGTACCTAATACTCTCTAAGATCATGCTAAAATACCATCAGCACAAATACTGAAATTTGTAAGTCGAGATTTATTTATTTTTTATCATCAAATTATCGGCTCGGTCCGACACTTAAGCCTAAATGCTCAACCTAACTTTGTGCGACATGCTGTAATATATTGATAATATTAGTATTAGGCAGATACTCCAAGTTGTACTCCAACGTTTTTATGTTTGTAGACAGGAAAAGGTTGTATCCAACCCTAGTTTAATAGTTAGGAAAAGGTTGTATCCAACCCTAGTTTAAACATTTTATAAATATGTAATTTCCCTTTAAACTATGGTACAGCTGGACTGACGTAGTCAGAGGTCACTGTCATGTCTGTCTGATTCCCTGCCTCCTGTCTGTCTTCTCTGGGTTCATCAGTGTCATCACGTTCACCTGTGTCCTGTGACTCCCTGGTCATTAGTCTCACTCGTCTCACCTGCTGCCCTGTGTATATATAGACCTCTCTCCCTCACTCACTCTTAGTTGGGCTGTTGTTGTTGTTGTTCCTGGTGTGTTGTTCCTGATCTGCGGTGTCTTAGTTGGGCTGTTGTTGGTCCTGGTGTGTTGTTCCTGATCTGCGGTGCCTTCAGTGAGGTTTTCTGGCAGTGTTTAAGTTTGGACTTTGTTAATGAACCTTCTTCAGCTGAATTCTGTTGTCTGGAAGTTGCATTTGGGTCCTACTTCATGCATTATTTTTTTTAGATGTCTGTGTGTGTGTGTTAGTAGCCTGCAATCTAGATCATTCTGTAGATTGATGAAGAGGAAAATCAGACAAAGACAAGGTAGTTGCAAGTAATTGCAGTTATAAAATTGTATTTAAAAAAATCAAATTAATTTGATCAGGGTGAAAACAAACCCTTTTTTCCTTTTCTATTTACCCATTAAATCATGTTTTGATTGTGTCTGAAACACTTGCCATTTTTAGAACATGCACAAACTTTTCTGATAATTGAGTCAAAGTGAAAAACAAACCTTAGATAAATAGACCTTTTACCAAATCACATTTAAACTGTTAAGTAGATTAAAGTGAAGGAACCGAAGCCTGGAGTTTATCAAACCAGATTTTCTCTATTTATCTATTCTATTTTTAATTTAACATTAAATTCCTTATTCCACCTCTGTTTTTATGTAAATAGTGTTATATGTATATATATTTATAATTTTTTGTGTTTCTACAACATATGGAAGACAAATGATAAATTGATATATTCGCCTGGGGAAAAAAAAAAGTTAAATACACACCATGCTAAACAATGAACCAGGAAATATAGTATTTATCGTATCAAAGCTGGACTTTCCATTCATACTACTCTGTTTTCTTTTAGCCACATCAGTCATTCTTTT